ATCCAGTGGAAATTAATGAAATCCATATACTTTCCTTAGTGTAAGTATTTTTCAGGAATTGTAGGCGAGCCCCTCTTAACAAGCTGCAAGGATATTCTGTAATCTACCTGGTCTGTCAGCTTGGCTTGAATGGAACTGCAACAGTTATATTTTCCCGCTGACTGGATGTTGGTGCAAGTTATTGTGACCTATTCAAGGGAGATTAATTTCAATAAACTCCACCTTTGTCGGACGTGGCCCTCCATCCATTCTTCTGGCATGCTCTCGGATTCTCTACAATAAGCAATATTTGATTAAAATGTTGACAGAGTAAATACACTTCTCTTGGAACGGCCGACAGATTTTCCCGCTAAAATACATCACATATTCTAACACAGGCTCTAACATCAGATCCCAGTTAGAGACTCGTTTTAATTATAAATCAGCGCCATCAACACACCTGTCCTGTTTAATGCACTCCTAATGCACAGGCCAGGAACAGGTATAGCAATTAAGACGCCTCAATGCCAGTGTACACTCATTTTCACTTAAGCATAAACAAGCAAAAACTAAGAGCAGATAAACCCACAGGTGAGACTTTTTGGATTAGACCTCACCTATGAAATTGAACTTTGATCCAAATCACAATGTAAGTGAATTTATATCTTTTGATTTATAAGATTAAAACTACAGTAATGATAAACTGAAAAGACCAGTAATACTACAGGTACATTATAATTTACTCTCCAAACAGAAAAACTTGTTCTAAGGGATTAAATGGGTAAATTAATCTGCCAATATTATGGTCAATCCACTCAAAATGTTTTACCAGTACAAATTCGTGCAGCAAAATTAGCTTTTGTTCTGAGCATGTTCAAAACTGAATTGCGTAATGGCCGGAATTGAGGTCCTTATCCTAATTTTAAACATTAAAAGTTCTGGATTTGGAACACTTACCAACGATTCTGCTGATTATTACTATCAAATATGCAATGGATTTATGTCAGAAATAAAAATTATATACAGACTTTCTCAGTCACCTTATGAGTTATAATGATTTTGTGCCAAACTAAAGCGGGGGCTTAGGATTAAATTATTTTGATCAAGCATAGCCTATTAAAACAATAAAATTAAAACAATATTCTTAAAAGGCACTTTACATCACTGAATGATAATTTCAATCATTTCAACATTATCAGCTGACTGAAAATTGTCCATTGGACAAAATCTTCTGGTGTGACCCAATTTAAGCCCAAATTAATACTGGCAGAGTCAAAAGATAGCAAGCAACATTTTGATGTTGTCTCTTTCAATAGTGTAGCCCACAGCTGTACATTTCATGCTCAAATTTCCTTGTATCAGCAATTTTCTTGTGTGCAAACTCATTTACAAATGACTTAAAAGTCAGTCTAACAAACCAATGTTTACCAGAAGAAAACAGTGCTCACAAAGAAGAGGCAGACATTCATCACTAAAAAAGTCTATGCCTTTTCTATGTTGAATTCTAGTCAATACAAGGGATGCCCAAGGTTATTAAACTAATCTTTTGCCGGAAATCAATTACCTGGGCCATAGCTAGTTTCAGCTTTAGGGTATCTAAGACATCAGTTTCATTGATAAAATCATGTATTTATAAAATTATCAAACGGCTTATAAGTATTAAGAGTGCATATTAACTCACTGGAGGAGATAAAGATAAATTTGGACACACATGCGGAATGTTCAGCAAGCTAGCTAGGACTTTTTCAAGATTTCAAATGAAAAAAAAAACATTTTTCTTGGTATGTTTTGGTTCACAAAATCTGCAAATTACATGTACTGGTAAGTTGTGTACACTGTAACTAAAACTGCATGAAACTGATATCAGATTTATTTCTGGGCCGCTGTAAGTACAGTACAAACTGAAAAGCAAACATCCTACACCATTGCTAAAACTTTATCTAAACAGAAAAAAAAACTGACAGCATAATGACTTAACTTGTACATGCATTTATATAAACATTCCCCTAGTATTGCAGGTGTAGTTTTAACTTTAAGGAGAGAGGAGGACACAAATTATATTCTAATTCCGATTTTTGTACCTTTTTTTTTTTTTTTTTTTTTTTGCAAAATCATGGAAATATGATAAATATCGCGTTTTGATTTGGTAGTTGAGATCGAGGTGCTCGGTAAAGGTATTTACCAAAATTTTCTTTGATATAATAAATATTCGTTATAATCAATAAAAAGAGCGAACATCTTTTACAGCCTTCAGTCTTTTTCAGGTTACGCCGAATTGAAACACCGTGCCACTGCCATTTGGCTGCGCAAGTTGCGGACAAGAGAAACAGCTGCAATGGATAGACCACAAGAGTGTTGAGCATTGATGAGCAAAGCAGAAATATTCAATAGACAGCCACTTACTGTACATCACAGGTCGCCTTCTTGGTATAATTGTAGCTAACAATGTGCGGCATGGTATTTTCGATCTGCCTCCTTTTTTGTGACCTACAACGTGATAGTGAAACAATCAACACGAGCTACGAAACTGCATGCTAATTATATGATATTGTGTATATTTAAACGAAAATATTTGTCAAAAAAACAGTTAATTGAATGTATGTGACCTTCTTTTTGAAATGATTGTTCATAAATTAAAAGAAAGCGGCTTTTCCTAGATTAACAAGATTTTTGTACCGTCTCGTGCTGCTACCTTCTGGAAATTTCAAAAACTAAAATATTTCACTTTTTGCTTTCACTTTCGCTTTCACACTTTGCACACTAGCTCGCCAACTTTTCTTTGGGAAAACAAAATCTAACATGCAAAGGTGATCAGGCACGCAGAACTTATTCTCTTTGGTATAATAAAATAATTATGTTTCTGCTTCTCGTATTTGGAGAAAGAATACATGCATGCAATATTTACAAAACACCAAACACCCAAACTTTTCTTGTCACGTAAACTTTTCTGCCACAAAGCGCTGTCACTTCAGCAAAGGAGAATGAGGCTGCATCTGCATCATGTAGATAGAAATAGAAAGAGTAATTTTATTATCCTCCCCCCCCCCCCCGCCCACACACACACACTAACACACACACACACACACACACACTGTGACACACACATAACCAGAAAAAGAGAGAGAGAGAGAGAGAGAGACTCACGTACAAGCATCTTTTCGGTCTAGAAAGACTTCCAACACACAACTCGGTCTCTTAAGCGCAGTGGAGAATATTCCTGTTTCTGGTCCTTGTAATTAGAAAGAACAGATTCATAACACACACACACACACCTCCCACTTATTAACATAACTTACAATCTTCCCAGTCTTCTCTGGCCTTGAATCATTTCTATTTCTGGGTTCATTTTCTTCAGTCCTAAGATTTGTGAATGTGTCCCATCAGATCCCTGGAAACAGAAAGGATAATATCATTATATTATCCATCCAACTCCTTCCCCAACCTCCCTTAATCATGAGAGAGAGAGAGAGAGAGAAGGGGGGGCACTCACGTATAACGTATATACATGCATGCATCTTTTCTTGGCTTAAAAAGATTTCCAACACAGTTTCTTCAGTTCAAGGAATCCTTAATGAGACTGCTGCTTGGCCTAGAAATATTGCCCATACAGTGGTCAGTTTATTCACCACGTGCACAAGAATTCTTCTTCCTTGGAAACATTGCCCGTCATTTTTGGCCATTCCATTTCAAAGTTTCTTTTTTTAAGACACAAAAAATGAGTTCACAACGATTTATATTTTATCCCTATTCATTTACTTATTTTTTTAAATATTCGTCTTTATTACTTTACTAAACGATTTGTTTTTCTTTAGAGTGTACCAAAGGAACAAAATTTTGAGGCACGTGTTAAGCGAATTTTTCGAAAAATTGAATAAAGACTCCATGAGATCATGTAGGGACGTGTTATTTGCCTCTATGATCCCTGGCAGATTTATTCGGTTTACACTGTCATTTAAACTCGCCGATACGATATTACTCGAGGCTTTCAAACTTTTGAATTTCGCACATGTGGGATCAATATCGGACAAGTCACAATTCGCCAAAAATTAGACCGAGGGAGTGGGAGGGTTCGAGCGTGTCGAAAGAACCGTCTTTTTTGCAGCGAAAGGTCGGCTTTTCGAAAAAAAAAAGGCTCCTTTTGCTACGTAAGAAAATTGAATAAGAAAATTGAATAAGAAAAAAAATGATGTATTCAAAATTCTATCACTTTGCCATAAATCTCGCGTTTTTTTTTTCATTTCAGATCGACAAATACAATTTAGCAATACTATGTGGTATTACATTACTTTTCCGTGGTCCACTTTTACTACGAGAAATAATGTGAAACTAACAACAGCTGTACCATGTACTTGCTTAGAAGTAACATTTTCGTTGCCAATTTTTCATTTTATTTTTTTAATATCATTATTCTTCTTGCTATAATACATTTTCCTGCTTTTTAAGTACACGGACAGTGTTAGAGTTGGGCATAAACTCTTTGGGGAAGTGGGGAGAGGGTTGGAAGGAATATTTACAGGAACTCTGAAATAGTATTTATTTGAAGTCATTTCTTTTTTAAAGAACAGTAAATATAAAGCAAAAAAGTAGTCAGTCATATATTTATTACCAATTTAATTTTTTTGTAAAACTTTTTTAATGTTGAAAATATAGTTTGAGTTGAATATCACCCGTTTGTCATCATGTCATGACCTGAATTTATTAAAGTTATAAGAGATTGTTTATGTAAAAATATATAAAGCAATCTAATCATTACTGTTGGTATTGACTAGCAATAATAGCAGCATAATCAGCAATACTTCAAACATGCCCCTGTAACACAAACTTCAATATATAATAAAATTACACTACAAATATTAAAAAATTCCTTTTTATTTCATATCATTAACTTTTTAAAAGTTTATTCTGACAGAATATCTGTGCCACCAGTTTACTTCACAGAAAAATAATTTAAGAAAAATAACAGTGATCACACAAAGGAAGAGACTTCAATCTGATATAAGAAAATAAATCACTTTACCAGCAATATATTGTATTAAATATAGAACTTCTGATATTCATAGATATTAATTTAAAAATGAGAAACCTACAAGCAAAAAGTAAAAATCAAATTCTGTATATTCTACAAATGTAATATATCTCTAAATATAAATTTTTATATGGTTTCAGTGTTATTCCAATGTGTATGTGTGTGTTTGTGTTTATATTTGTGTGTTCCAACATTTAACCAAGACTAGAAAAAGCACTCAGAGAGCCCAGACCTCCACCAAGAAACTTGCACTGATAAATTATGGCACATGTATTGTAGTTGCTAGCATATCCATTGCATAAAGACAAGGCTATTGGTGCTTTGTCACCTTGAGGAGATATCTTTTTTAAATTCTTAGATCCCGATAATCTGGGTCACCACCAAAATCTAAACACTTTTAAGTTAGTCCATTTCTGGCCTATCCTAAAAATAACATTTTGAATTAGACTGGTGGTGAACAAAATACAGAGGTAAAAAGACAAAAGAAACAAATTACATCACAGAAAATTTTAACATGATGTTATCTGAAAGGATGTTTATGAACACACTGTAAACAAATCATCATGAAGCTGGACATGGAGGTTCACTAGTGAAGTCACAAATACAGTATGGTTTATTGCAACAGGGAAGCACAAACATATCTGTGTTGTCAAAGGATGTTATACCATGGCCATCTAAATCTTCAGGCAACGTCTCTTGATGCTTCCTGAGTATATCTTGAATTTCATTTGAAATATCCTGATAATCCTCCCAGTCAAGAGCAAACATTTCCCCCGGGTCTTCCTCCACATTGAATAACAGTGGCACCTCCTGCTGTATTGTCTTGTTGCAATAGTGCTCCACGTGAAGCTCTGTGTCTGTAGGTACCCCAGCTACGGGGCAGTTTTTTAGAATGAATTCTTCTGAAGCAAGGGGGTGCGTCCTGAAGTGCACCTTAAATGACTTGTAGCGTATTGCCATCAGATGGTTATCACAGTAGAAAAACAGTGCCCTGTCTCTTTTCAAAGCATCATGGTCTTTTTTATGAAAATGTCCAGAATTAACGTCTGTTAATTCCAATTTCCCAAATATCTTATCCAACATATTTTCTCCATCTAGGTGTACATTTGGCAGCTGTCCTCCCACAAGGCTGACCAGAGATGGTAACAGGTCCATACTGCTGACCACTTGACTGGACACGCGGCCTGGAGGGATGACCCCCGTCCATCTCATTATGGCTGGAACACGGACACCACCCTCATAGAAGTTGCCTTTCCCACCTACAAATAAACAAAATAATAGAATTTATAATAAAAATGAAAACCAATTCCAAACTACTTCTGTAAATATATTCACAACAGCTGTTCTATAATGTATATCATATCAGGATCTCACTTCTTTTAAAATCTGTAAATTTTGAAAACCAAGGATGTTAACTTTAACCAAGTCTTGCTGCATAAATATCAAGAAGAATTGTGGAATAGGATAGTTACTTAACTATGTGATAAAAAAACTTCAACTGATTTGTTACGTAAAGAACCAATACTGATTTGTTAAGTAAAGAACTAATAAAGTAAATAAACATTCTTAAATAATTTTAAATAAACATTAACAGCTATAGCAATCATCACCTTCCCCACTACTTAGAGGTGCCACTTTTTAAAGAAAAATAACAACATAAGCACTTTACCTTTAAAAATGCCAGAGCTGCCTCCTTCCTTGCAAATTTCCCGATGAGGGCCATGGTCAGACAAAAATATGACCAAAGTCTTCTCATCCAGTGCCAGGGTGGACAAAGTTGCCATAACTTCTCCAACTGCCCAGCTCATCTCGTTGATTTGGTCACCATATTCACCTGAAT